TTTGCCATTATTTATTAAGATATCGTCATGAAACATATATCATATTGTAGGGACATCTGGAAACTTAAAGTCAACTTAAGGCAACACTACTATATTTGTCCGTTTAAGCGTGATCTTGTCCAGAAAAACATTCATAACGAAGGGGGGGGGGGGGCACTCGCGCGGCTAATAAAGAAAAACAGTGTTTTTCTTGATATTCAATTCTTACAAAGGACGTTAGTTACTATGTTTCTGTTGCGGAAACAACTCTGTCCGTTTGCCTGCTAAAATAGCCACACTAACATGCATAAATTTTAGAAAAGTCGGACAATTCAGACAAATCGGTGTATTTCATAATTTTCAATAATCAAGTTTGGCTTTATTTGTAAAGATGTCTTTATGAAACATATACCATATTGTTTAACATATGTACTTTAAGATAAATGAATGTATTATTAGATATATCTGTCCGTTTATCCATGCTAGTGTCAACAATTACATTAATAATTGGAAAAACGCGCGCTGCAAATAAAAACGCTTTTCATGATATTTTATTCTTACGCAGGACGTTATTTACAAAGGCATAAGTTATTCAATATATTGTAGAGACGAATGTATATGTCAAGATACTGAAATACATCTTAAAACAACTCTGCCAGTTTGTCTGCTATAATACACATACTTACATATTTCAGGAAAGTCGGACAATGCATATAAAATCGGTGTATTTCATTTTTTATTATCAAGTTTGCCATTATTTATTAAGATATCGTCATAAAACATATACCATATTGTAGGGACATCTGGAAACTTAAAGTCAACTAAAGTCAACACTAATATATTTGTCCGTTTAAGCGTGATATTGTCCAGAAATACATTCATAACGAGGGGGGGGGCACTCGCGCGGCTAATAAAGAAAAACAGTGTTTTTCTTGATATTCAATTCTTACAAAAGACGTTTGTTACTATGTTTCTGTTGCGGAAACAACTCTGTCCGTTTGCCTGCTAAAATAGCCCCACTAACATACATAAATTTTAGAAAAGTCGGACAATTCAGACAAATCCGTGTATTTCATAATTTTCAATAATCAAGTTTGACTTTATTTGTTAAGATGTCTTTTTGAAACACATTCCATATTGTAGGGACACATGTATTCTTTAAGATAAATAAACGCGATTATAAATATATTTGTCCGTTGTTCTATGCTATACCTCAGAAATGCAGGGATTATTCGGACAATACAAGCAAATCGGTGTTTATCATAATTTTTAATTTTTATGTGTTGATTTATTCAGAACAGTATCTTCATTAAACATAAATCCTATTGTAGGGAAACATACGGCGTATATACATTACGATAAATGAATGCATTCCTATATATATCTGTCAATTTTTCTATGATAGTGAATAGAAATACATTGTTAAATAAAATAATAATAATAATAATTTTATAATTTGTTGATAAATATAAATTGATTTTTTGCAGCCACATATGAGATATTGATAGAATATAAATATTATAAAAGAAGCTTCGCAAACATTTGTTCATAAGAATGGAATAATAACAACAACCACAACAACAACAATAACAATAATAATAATAATAATAATAATAATAATAATAATAATAATAATAATAATAATAATAATAATAATAATAATAATTATTATAATCATAATAATCATAATTATAATAATTGTAATACAAAATAAATATAATAATATAATAATAATAATAATAATAATAATAATAATAATAATAATAATAATAATAATAATAATAATAATAATAAATAAAGAATAATAATAAAATAATCATCGTCATCATCATCATCCCTGTCACAACAGCACTACAACCAATCAATAATAATAATAATAATAATAATAATAAATAATAATAATAATAATAATATAATAATAATAATAATAATAATAATAATAATATTATATATAATAATAATAATAATAATAATAATAATAATAATAATAATATATAATAATAATAATAATAATAATAATAATAATAATAATAATATATCATTATATATGATTATAATATATAATAATATAATAATAATAATAATAATAATAATAATAATAATAAATAATAATAATAATAATAATAATAATAATAATAATAAATAATAAATAATAATAATAATAATAATAATAAATAATAATAATAATAATAATATAATGAAATGATAATAATAATCATAAGAATCATAACATAGTAATAATAATAATAACAATAATAGAAATAAAAATAATCATAAAAACAATAATAAATAATAAAAAAAATATATATTCATAATAATAATAATAACAATAATAAATAATAGAAAAATATATATTTATAATAATAATAATAATAATAATAATAATTATAATCATAATAATCATAATTATAATAATTGTAATACTAAAAATAAAAATAATCAATATAATAATAATAATAATAATAATAATAATAATAATAATATCAATAATCATTATAATAATAATAATGAATAAAAGTAATGATTATATAAATTATAATCGCATCATGGAATTTTATTCTTCTTCCTTGTTTTCATTATTATTATTATTATTATTATTATTATTATTATTATTATTATTATTATTATTTATCATCATAGTCATAAATAATTCGCAATCTCTTATTAAAAGGAAATCAAATGGATAACTGTGAAATAATTTGAAAATGAATCATTTGATGAAAATCCAGTTGGATTTTTTTCCAATAACTTTTATTGGAAAAAAATCCAGTTGGAATTTTTTCCAACAAAAATAATTGGAAATAAATCCAATCGGATTTTCATTTTTTTCAAAGCACCTTATTGGTAATTCAGCGTGTATAATTATGTTAATTTCTATCGAAAACTATCATTTGCCTTTAATTATTATCGCTTTTATACTTATAAAAATTTTCTTTAAAAATCCAGTCGGAATTTTTTCCAGCTTTCAAAATGGGATTTTTTTATTTTAGAGAATAAGTTCTTCAAAACTAGTCAGAAAGTCATTAAAGGATGTATGAATGGTTATTTTTATAGTTTAAGCGTTGCTGGAAAAATTGAAATCCCGTTGGAATAAATAATAATGTTGGAAAAAATTCCAATTGGAATATAAGTAAATTCCGGCCGGACAGCATAATTCCGGGCGGAATACATGAATTTCCGCCCGGACAAATTTTTTAAAATACAATTTTTGATAAGAAAAAAAATTAAAATAGCTTCAAATGAAGTCAATTATTTATAATTAACATTAAATCTATCGTATGAAATGATTTTTAAGTGTTTAGGGCAAGTATAAATGGTAGTGAAGTTTGCCACTATCCCGGTGGTGCAAAGATTTTCCGGTGGCTGTTTTTACTTAAAATAAAGAAAAGTTGAAACATTAGTTATTCATATCTTCATCCTGAAAAAATGGATCTTTTGATTATCTGTATACAAACAAATACAGAAATCGAAAGATTTAAATAGATTCCTGTCATTTATTCATGTATTCATTCAATGGCATAATTGAATCAGAATATTGCCAAGGTTCCTACTGGTAGTGGACTTCTGTATTGCTTGTAATAGTATGATAATAACTTGTGTACGTGAGACTTTAAACATGTGACCACATTACATAACATAATCTTATAAAACTATAAGAATGCAATTTGACCTCGAAAATATATGTCTTTCTGCTTGACGTCAATACTACATTATATGGAGTTCGTTTCATTAAATGTTAGTATACCAATTCCATTTTCATTCCTAATCTGTGGTACACAATACTAATAGCTATGTAACACGGCAGGGATTTTAAATTCTTTCATTATTTCTTGTTTTTGTTTTGCTCATGTAAAAAACATTAAACATACAAGGGTTGGCCAAAAATGTCGTAGACTACATTATTTTCTCTTCAATTTGACGTCATAACTTTTTAAAATTTACCAGACAACTTCATTCATTATTTGTTAATTAACCTACTTAAAGTCAATAGCCAATATATTAAGTAACGCTTTTCATCACGGTTTTAACTTTAACAGTACAACTTACCCGGAGCACGATAAAATATTAGTCAGTGTTGAGAACATGCTTCTTAAAAACATGCCTTTTACTTCTAGCATAATAATAATTATGGGAAATAACGTCAAGTGGAATGACGTCATTCATTTTGACGTCATATCACCAACAGACGTTTATGTAACGTTAATTTGAAAAAGTCTGTAGAATAATACGTAACAGCAGTGCTATTTGAAAATGCCCAAAATGGCGACGTCAGATGAAATTGCGGCGCAACGCATTGTCATTGAATATTGTGTTCAGTTGAAGAAGCGTCCAGTGTTAATTGACAACATCGAGAACATTATATTTTATCAAGATAATGCACCTTGCCATAGATCTCAGGAGACACAGCCTGAACTTGATGTGATAGGTTTTCAGAGACATCCATACGCCCGTAGACTTTGCAGGGTTTTCTTATTTTTAATCACGATTACGAGGTCACAGGTTCGAAAACTTCAGCAAACTCCGCCAGGTAACTCTGCAAGTGTTGAGAACATTGAAGCAGAACTATTTTGAAAACTTTTATGATAAATAGCTCGCCCGACACCGACAGTGCATCGAGAAAAACTGAGAATACTCTGCAAAAACATTTTTTAAAATCTTATAACGTCATGACGTTTATGATGGCGTTTGCCGGGTATGTATAGGTAGCATTCTTTAAATTCTGATTAAATAACTTCATTTTTGGAGATATTTTGATTTTATTTCACAAAATTTCACATAGACACACATGAAATGTGTATTGAATTTTCCCTAGCTGGTCGACTTTATTGTGTTATAATTGATTGACTTTGTCTACAATATTTTGGGACAACCCTCGTACTTCTTAATCTGAAAACAGATAAAATTACAAAAATATCAAGCATACATACAATGTGCATTAAATCACCATTCTACATTCTAATTGTACCAAATCTTCATTAAATACATCATTAAGATCAAGGAAACATTTTATTACATTTCAGCTTCATTGGGATACTGCTGAATATTAAAACAAAGTGACATTATGATTAGATTGTATAACGCTGTGAAGGACTACTTCTTGCAAACAGCATCTCCTCCACCAAAACTGACAACAGTTCCTTGGAGGGAAACTTCTAAACGGGGCATGGGAGTAACACCTTTACAGGTAGATCTAAGTAGTAGTAGGGCAGCCTACTATCATCCTTACCGTCATTACTGACAACGGTATATTTCTAAAATGTAGGTAAAGTTAGGTTTGAATAACTGACGCGTGAAAGCCAATGTCAAAATGACATATTATTCGAGACCGTAAGCGCCAACAACAGAACCATTTGATCCACATTTCTCACACGTCACAAAATGATCACCACATTAAAAAACCGTTGCTAAGGCTTTGATTCATGGGGGACAAATTGACCCTAGGTAACGTTGAACTTGATAGCCATTTCTACTCATCTATATTACCTTTTGACCCGCAACTTTCAAACTTTATACAATGACTACTCTAATACAAGGCCCTATGTTTAAGGCATTGTTGCACGAATGTCAGGTCACAGTGACCTTTTTTGCAAACTATTTCTGCTGTAACACTAGAGAACGACTTGACTTAAAGTCTTGAAACTTCATAGGATGATCAGCATCAACGATGATAAGGGCAGTAAAAAACATTGTTTGAAAGTTCATAATACTTATGCATTATGTGCTATGTTTTCTTACATATTCCGTCATAATTAATTTTAGAAGTTCAATTTAAACGTATATGAAAAACAATCGTATAGGTAATGATATGCATTAGAGGAATCGACACCACTATGTCAAAATACGTTTTACATGATTAAGGGTATTTTTTCTTTCATGTCTTAAGAATCTAGCGCTAAAACATACTTAAATTTCAGAGTAGAAATGTGGAAAACTTTAATCACAGCTGAATTATTCACTTTGTAATCTTTAATATAAAAGTGCAAAGTATATAATAACTTTGTATTGTCCTTCACAGATATGACTTAAATTGTGATATTTTTCAAAATTATTTCATTTAAATATAAATGTGTATATTACAAACAGTAATATGGGAGGGCATATGTGATATTTTGACATTTCCTGTCTAACAATGCCGTAGTGATTGAGCTTGTAAACAAACGGGTTGATAAGTTAATAAAAATATAAATGTTTACAATCGATGTGCATAATGTATATTCTAGACGAAGAACTTTGTGCTTTTCTAACCCGAGTTTGAAAATAACAAATATTAACATCTTCGCATTGGAATAGAAAATCGCTGGTTTGTAAGTCCTCACTCTATGACACATCTTCTGTTCGTTCACATTGAGAACGTGTATTTTCGAAGCATAAGTAGTTTGTATCTTCAAAAGAAATTCAAAACCATACAAGCAGACCCTTCAAAAGATAATTGTAAAATGTCAATTCGTGACATTTAATGAGCCAACAATAGTATTATTATGGGTTGCTTAAGTATAATGTGTCAGTCAAGTAAATCAGACACAATGTTTTGGTCAGTTGTAAAGTAAGATAAAAAGTACATGCATTATAATATCAAGATTGTGAGAAATCATTCCACAATTACAGGTTCTGGTGAAAAGCAAAGTCAATAACAAATAAAACTGAAAAGTTTTAATAAAATAATTACAATGATATGCACGTGAATTATGTTACTTGTACACGAACACGTCATCCCTTGGGTGTTAACAAAATCATTCAATAATAACGTTTTTGATCAATACGATGAAGCAGACAAACATGTTCAAAACATAACGCTATATAGATCGTCTTCCTGGTTCAACAATTACATCTTCAGAATGTTTTACGGAACTAAGGTGTTGTGTCTGCTAAAAAGAATGTTCAATATTATGTAGTACTTGTTGAGAAAAACTATTTTGCCTATTCAAACAGGATAATATTTTTTTATTGGGCTTTACGTCACATAGACACAGTAGAGGTCATATCGCGACGTTCCAGCTTTACTGGTTGAGGAAGACCTCAGGTGCCCCTCCGTGCATTATTTTAGGCACGAACGGGTACCTGAGAGACATGATAATAATCCCACGTCTTGAGTCCCTGAATTATTTTTCGATTTACCAGCCAATTTTTAGTCATGGCCTTTGAGCTAAACTTAGCAAAATTAAAAATACATCATACAAATGATAGTCTTTCAATTGATAGATTCCGAGGAAAGGGTAGCAATTGAAATCAGCAAAAACTGATTTGGTAGCTTATGCGTAAATGCATGATACTGTTGCAGCTTAGATAAAGGAAAATTTCTATAGAAAACCTGTGACACCCTGATCCAAATACTGTCTGCATAACAGTAACAATTTTTAATATTTTGCTACATTTTAAAGAGTTTCGACCCTTTTCAAGGGGGTTAATCCATGCGCGCGCATCCTTAAAGTTTTGATACCGCGAACACTTCATCGGCCGGTATTTCGAAGAACTAGAACTCCGCGAGTCGGATGTGTCGCCTTGTGAACAATGTATTTTAGGAGAAATGGCCAGAACAAAAATGAAATATGAAAAATAACAAAGGGCAATAACTAAAAAATAATAAGTGCAGAGCAGCAGTTTCTGTGCACTGCCCTTCTTATCAATAAGATCTATCATTCTATGATGTTTCAAGTCCATAGCTTTCATACTTGAGGAGAAATGACCAGGACAAAAATAAAGTAAGAAAATCAACAATGGGCAATGACTCAAAAATATGAAATGCAGAGTATTATGCACTGCACTTTTACTTAATGAGATCTATCATCCTATGAAGTTTCAAGTCCATAATTTTTATACTTTCGGAGAAATGGCCTGGACGAAAATTAAGTATGAAAATTAACAAAGGGCCATAACTCAAAAATTAAGAAATGCAGAGTACCGATTCTTATGCACTGCACTTCTTCTTAATGAGATCTATCATCCTATGAAGTTTCAAGTCCATAGCTTTTATACTTAAGGAGAAATGGCCCGGACAAAATTAAAGTATGACAATAAACAAAGGGCAATAACTCAAAAAATAAGAAATGCAGAGTACCAGTTCTTGTGCACTGCACTTTTTCTTAATGAGACCTATCATCCTATGAAGTTTCAAGTCCATGGCTTTTATACATTAGGAGAAATGGCCCGGACAAAAATTAAGTATGAAAATTAACAAAGGGCAATAACTAAAAAATTACGAAGTGTAGAGTACTAGTTAGTGTGCACTGTACTTCTTCTTAATGAGGTCTATCATCCTATGAAGTTTCAAGTCCATAGCTTTTTTAGTGAAAGAGAAATGGCCCGGACAAAATTAAAGTATGAAAATTAACAAAGGGCAATAACTCAAAAAATAAGAATTGCAGAGTACCAGTTCTTGTGCACTGCACTTTTTCTTAATGAGACCTATCATCCTATGAAGTTTCAAGTCCATGGCTTTTATACATTAGGAGAAATGGCCCGGACAAAAATTAAGTATGAAAATTAACAAAGGGCAATAACTAAAATATTACGAAGTGCAGAGTACTAGTTCTTGTGCACTGCACTTCTTCTTAATGAGATCTATCATCCTATGAAGTTTCAAGTCCATAGCTTTTTTAGTGAAAGGGAAATGGCCCGGACAAAATTAAAGTATGAAAATTAACAAAGGGCAATAACTCAAAAAATAAGAATTGCAGAGTACCGGTCCTTGTGCACTGCACTCCGGGTTATTGAAAGAAGCATGCATACCAAGTTTGAAGTCAATCAGACTTATAGTGACTGAGTTATGCTCCGGACAAGCTTTAGGGGACGCCGACGCCGACAACGACGCCAACAACGACACAGACGCCGCCGCCGCCGCCGACAAAAGTAACCCCTATATGTCACCTTTTCAAGGCGACACAAAAACGAGTGGTGTGAAGAAATTAGAAATGGTATGAATTTAATTTGTTTTTGCAAAGAAGATGTCCTGACTTTTAGTTTTTATATACAAAATGTCTTGAATTAACTCTTTCCTGTTTTGTCAGTATTTCGCGTTGAATGCGATTTTGATTCTGGATAGTGCGTACACCCGGCGTTGAAATGTTACAGAAAATGAGCAAATATCGATTAAACTGGCCGTTTTAAACGGCTGGAAGTTATTCTGTTGCAGAATCCTTTTCAAAAATATATTTTCAACCTTCGTTCCAATTCATTTGTACTCAAAACGTATTTAAACTCACTATTTACAGAAAACAGAGATTATGATATTGCGTACACTCTAAAAAAATCCAGATACTGCGTACACATAACTATGCAATTGATAGAAAGTAGGTATGTGAAGTTGGCTTGTACATTGTACATCGTAGTTCAGCTTGTAATTCCCCAATTACAAGCTAGTAGTTGGGTATTCAGCTTGTAGTTCGGACCAGATACATCAGGATACGTTAAATTTGAATTACGAGCTAGTAGTTGGGTATTCATCTTGTAGTTCTGACCAAATACATCAGCATACATAATATTTGAATTAAGGGCTAGTAGTTGGGTATTCAGCTTGTAGTTCGGACTAAATACACCAGCATACATAATATTTGAATTAGAAGCTAGTAGTTGGGTATTCAGCTTGTAGTTCGGACTAAATACACCAGCATACATAATATTTGAATTACAAGCTAGTAGTTGGGTATTCAGCTTGTAGTTCGGAAAAAATACATCAGCATACATAATATTTGAATTACAAGCTAGTAGTTGGGTATTCAGCTTGTAGTTGAAGGTTGAAAATATATTTTTGAAAAAGATTCTACAACAGAATAACTTCCAGCCGTTTAAAACGGCCAGTTTAATCGATATTTGCTCATTTTCTGTAACATTGCAACGCCGGGTGTACGCACTATTAAGAATCAAAATCGCATTCAACGCGAAATACTGACAAAACAGAAAAGAGTTACTTCAAGACATTTTGTTTATAAAAACTAGAAGTAAGGACATCTTCTTTGCAAAACAAATTAAATTCATACCCTTTCTGATTTCTTCACACCACTCGTTTTTCTTCGAAATACCGGCCGTTGAAGTGTTCGCGGTATCAGAACTTTAAGGATGCGCGCGCATGGATTAACCCCCTGGTTTTTCAAGTTCCATAAAATCAATCATCCCCGGGAGATGCTTTGGTAGTTTAGCGCGGAGGAAGGTAGTTTAGTACTGGTGTAACTCTCCAGGAACGATGGTTAGGAAACTACCTGCCTATATGACTAAAATACTGTTGTGAAAAGGCGTTAAATGAAACAAACAAACAAACAATCATCAATCGCAATTACCTGGTTATGAAATAAATCAGTATCAGACAGTATGTCAATGTATATAAGTATTCACATACTTCATATACTGGTTATCCCTGGCGTCTGGCGACGTCTGGGATTGCTAAATAAGTTTCAGTTCCACAAATTTATATCTTATATAAATGCTTTTCAATCTTTTTTTCGAACTTGTTTCTGCGTTTTGAACTTTGACCGTAGTCACCAGTAGAGTGCATTTTACTTCATACTTGACGATGAATCATTTGAGTGTGTTAAAATTGCACTTTTGTAGTTAAGTTAAGTTAGTTTTTCTGTTGCAGTCCACTGACGTAATGAAACAGGCATGATATTCATAAACTTTCAAAAGTATATAATTGAATGGAGTAATGAAATTTTTAAACATGCGTATAAAGAAATATCAATATTATTTTTCAAAAACCTTAATTGTTATTTTTCCAAAACATAAATTTGTTATTATATATAGATTTCATTATACTTTTCAAAGATGAGCCTCGTTTGATACTCGATATAACTGTTAAAAGAGCGTATCTTGGGGATTCTTTTATAGTTTTAATGAATAAACCTCATTTTGTTATTTCACATAAATCTGTAAGAAAGGCCACCCATGTTTTTCTTCTGGTCTTTTTACTTACCCTTTTCTTGATTTTACACTTTTTGCACAAAATTTACATTTTCACTGTCTATTTCAAAAATACAAAAACAAGTATTCGTGTCTTCATACGGACATTGGAATAAATTATCACGTGCACACTTAAACACAATACACGCAAATCGACGACGTACGTATTAGACATTGCCGACGTAAACTTTCTACAATAGATTTACGATCACTTTATATTGCAGTGTCTCGTAAAAAGTAAGTAAAAGAGTAATTTTGAGCTAGGGACTAGTTCCCGGATTCCTTGTATCTTATAGCTGTCTCTAGAGTCTGCTCAGGTAAGGACCCTACTGGAAATAAGTGCTTGCACTTTTGACCGCCCGGTCTAAAGAAAATCAATCAATCAATCAAAACTTTATCACACTATCATAATTATCAAAGTATACTACCAGTGCGTGCTCATGTCAATATTTTACATTTGTAGGGAGAATAAAATTTATCCTCTTGATTTTATCCCGTTCCATAAAATACAACTGTTTTTTTACGTTTCCGATTATCTCCCAGTTCTAGAAGAGAGAAAATAGCTATTATTACGTATTGCTGCATCAATATGCTATTGTTTTATTTTGAACTTTCTTCAAACTCATGTGATCAACAACAAGTTAGGATTTCTATTAACCATGACTATATTTAGTTTGTTTTCCTTGCATATAATTTACTAAACTGTCTTTGGGGTACGCTGTCATTAATAAAGTGGGTCAATGAGATTTATATATGCTACTGTTCACGACTATATAAAATACTTGGATAAAATGAAATAGATGTTGTTCCTTTTGTTTTAGCTTGAAATGGAACTTATACAACAAATAAAAAAGTTACAGCCGCAAAACCGAAAGCAGCCAATTCACCAAAGACAAGAAATAAATTTGTTGATTCAAGGTCCGGTGTCAGCAGGAAAATCTAGTTTTATCAATTCTGTTCTAAGCTATAAGTGTTCTTCAAGAATCACTAAAGCCGGTGCAGGTAGTTGCTCAGATTCATATACAAAATGTGTAAGTTTTATTATAATTTTACAAAATAATGTAGTAACGTTTTTTAACCATAATTAGAGTTGCTATATTCCCTTTCAAAAAAGGGTTATATTATTTTGCACATGTTGGTTGGTAGAGAACAGTTAAAACTTTGGATAATAATCCTCATCGAGTATAATATCATATGCTCCGATAAAAACCATTTTAACACAGTCTCATCTCCATATGATGGTCACCCACATTAAGTGATACGCCCTAGTTGGTTTAAGGTACTCAAAGGTGAAAGTCAAGGTAGAAGTGACTTTAAATGCGAAAAACCATTGCCTTTAAAATACCAGAAAACCGTTTGACAAATAGCCTTAAAAGATATATTCATAGGTGATCACCTTTATTGTGAATACCACTTTGGTTTTTGATTGCCATTGCTTGAAGAACCTGGTCACACTGCCCTTGATTGTGAAAATCGTTCCCGCATAATAACTAAACAACCATTCGAAACACAATCCTTTAACTTCATAGATCACATTGTTTCAGATGAAGACTCTTCATTTTTATTACTGGTATGGTAAGGTCAAGGAAACTGTGGCTTGGAATGTAACATTTGTTTCCGTTTGGAAACAAAAAACCTCCAAACTTAAAAAAACGCTTATCCAATTTTGAAGAAGACCTCTATTGTTTTTTAACACAGATGTAAGAAGGTCGCATTGACCTTATATGTAAATATATTTTCTGACCAATAACACACTAATCTGTGAGACCTTATGCCCTCAGACTTAATAGGTGCAATGGCCTTGGCAAGTGCATAACAATTTTTGCTTAACGGGAAGCAAAGTCACAGGACAAGGTCACTTTAAAATGGTTTTGGACAATAACTCACCAACCGAATTGGCATTGGAGCTCAAACTTCAGGCACGCATTTATATTGTTTTGTAGATTTCCCCTATGATTTTGCTTGCTTTATTTCCAAATTGTTGATGTTAACTTCTCATAATGACACCAAAAAAACTAAAAAAATTTTACTTGGACTAGTAAATTAATGATAAAACTTTTAAAGATAAAGGTAATACCTGAAAAAATATTATAATCAATACATCAAACTATAAAAGTCTCGTTTAATTGTTAAAATGTTATAAGAATGACCCTTTCAATTTAACTCACGCCCAAAGCACATGTCTTAGCGAAACTAATTTTCAAATTTTAACAGCGTCCATCTGTCTGTCTTCTGGTATGTACCAGGGACGGTCAAAAAATATCCGGACTTTTGACTCGTTTTCAAACACCATTTAACATTTAAAAAAAATCTTTCTACTCTTTTTCAAAGTATTCTCCACCTACGTCTACGCAGCTTTTGCCATCTTTGTGGGAGCTTTTGTATTCCCGCTGTGAATCATGACGTAGACCTATATTTTAGGTACTGTATAACAGCAGACATCAAAGCCGCCCTGGTCTTATATTTCTTTCCAGCAAGCAATTTTTTCAGTTCTGGAAACAAATAAAAGTCACAGGGGGCAAGGTCTGGGCTATAAGGAGGGTGAGACAACAATTGCCATTTGTAAGAGTTGATAACCTCCACTATAGCTGCGGCGGTATGGGAGGGGACGTTATCGTGAAGAAGGAGGACAATTTTCTGTGCTAACCTGGGACGCATTTGCTTCAGCTTTTCTCTGAGATTTTTCAGAATTACTTCAGAATAGTACTTGGCGGTGACAGTTTGACCTTTTGGCATGAAATGAGTAAGTATCATTCCTCGTGAATCCCAAAAGACAACAAGCATGACTTTGCCAGCCGAAGGAGACATCTTAAACTTTTTAGGAGGTGGGGAACCAGCTCGTTTCCACTACTTTGACTGAGCTTTTGTCTCAGGTTCGGAATAATCAACCCACATCTCATCTTCAGTGATAATGCGGTTCAAAAACTTATCTCCTTCACGATTAAAACGACTTTAATGTTCTTTTGCATTGGTTACCCTGGTTGCCTTTTGATCTGCGGACAGCTGTCCAGGCACCCAACTGGCACTTACCTTGCTCTTGCCTACTTGTTCGTGTAAAATCTTGTGTGCCGATGCCTTACCGATGCTAAACTTTTTGGCTACCTCCTCCAAAGTTACTCGACGATTTTTGTTGACAAAAGCTTTAACATGTGCTACCATTGTTGGGGTCACCGCCTCAGCTGGCCGCCCAGTCCTAGGCTTGTCACAAACACTTGTTCTACCTTCACGAAACTGAGAAACCCGGTTGTAGAAGGTTGAACGTGATACACATTTATCAGAAAATCTTTTTTTAAGCCTCTGAAAGATGTGGCAGGGCTTTTCACCTTCTGCAACCAGAAACTTTATTACAGAGCGTTGTTCCTCTAACAAAGAGTCCATGATAGACGAAACACCTATCATATATCAGATGGCAAAATACTGTGTATACACAACTATCATTGAAAATAAACTGACCACGTTATTGGCGAATGAATGTAGTTTTCACCAATATATAATGTGTGTATATAGCTGCACGTGGAAAGAGAGGAACATGAAAAGTCCGGATATTTTCTGACCGTCCCTCGTATATTCTGAACCAATGGACTATTTTTTTGAACTACGGATTTTATTTTATTAACAAGGTCAGATATTACCAAAATATGAAATTTTATATTCTTGTTGATACGTTTTTCGAATATAAAACATATAATTAAGATGTACTACAGAAAAAAATACCCGCTTTCTGCAGGAGGAAAAAATAACAGTCTTATCAGACATTTGTCAGAATAACATAAAATAGTATGTTTAAAGTACTTTTTAAAAAATTTCCGGGATGGACAGCACAGTTATGATGATTTCAAGGTCAGTTTGAATACTGTTTGCCTGGAGTCAAAAACTAGGTCACACAAACGGAATATGAAAAAAAAACTTGTTAACGTTAATGTTCGAAAACTACAATGTTCGGAGCTTTTCAATTGACATAAAACATTGCCAAGTAGACCTTTTTAAAACTGCATTAATTATGCATCTAGGGTCAACATGCTTCCACCCTTGTGGTCATTTGAATATAGAAGGATATTTAAACGACGGGTCTCAATTGAATGATACAGAGATTGTTAAGCATTTCGGAGAGAAGGCTTGTCTTTTCACATGATGTATGGTGTAACTGAATTCTATATCACGTAATAAAAACCACATGTAGTGAATTTTTAAAAAGAACACTTTTTTTCCATAAAAACACTTATAAGATTTACAGGAATGATTATGTTTTTTTTTATATTTTATGTCCCAAAAGGGCGGCAAAAAAAATCGCACCGTCTGTCTGTCTGTTTATGCGTCCCAAAGTTTCAAAACATTCGTGTCCCGATTGTAACTTTGTCATGCATGGAAGGATTTTCAAATAACTTAGCATAATTTTAAACTATATCAAGACAAAGTATCGCTTCTAAGAACCACGTCCCTACCTCAAAGGTCAAGGTCACAATTACAATTTGAAGATTCACATTCTAATAATAAGAATTAAAATGCAAATGCATTCGTGTCCGGACTGTAACTTTGTTTTTCATAGAAGGATTTGTAAATAACCTAGCATATATATCTATCACATCCAGACTATATGGCGCGCCGAAAAACCCATGTCCCTACCTCCAAGGCCAAGATCATACTTACAGTTTGAAGGTACATATTTTCACATGATGAGCTTAAAGGTACACATTCGGGTAACTATTTCATGCATTTAAGGATTTTTAAATAACTTGACACAGATGCTTTCGTCCCGCTCGTCCGCCGTAGATTCCAGCCTCTCTCTGCCGGTCGAACCAGTCGCTGGAAGTGGCGCGGAGACAGGGCTCGAACGGGCCCGCACGTCCCGCTCCGCGTCCTCCTTCACCGGAGGGCGGCCTTCCGTGCGGCGTCGTCGCTAGCCAAGCGTAAGAGAGCAGCGAAGGATGGGCCAGCTAGCCCGCCCTAGCCGAAACCGGAGACGGGAGACGGTGACTCCTATCGAGTCAGTCAGATACCCCTCCGATCCAAATTCATCCGACCTCGGAAAGATGTGTCCCATTTAAGAAGCCTTTCTCACTACCGACAATGTCAATCTCACACTTAGAGTTTCAAGGTACACGTTTGTGTCAGGACTGTAATTTTGTAATGCATAGAAAGATTTAAAAATAGCTTGGCACAAATGTCAAAAACATCATGTGTGTCATGATGTTTTGTCACGTCTAAGACTGGAAAGTAACTTGGCAAGCATAGATAGATTTTTATGTAACGTAGCAGAAATGTCCACCACATTAAGATCACGTGCCTTATCCAAGACTCATGTCCTTACCACCAAGATCAAGGTTACTCTTTGAAGCTACTCGTACTCACAAGTATTGTTTGAAAGTATACAATGGTGCCCAGTCTATACTTTATCATGTACGTATGTATCATGTAAAGGACTTTGAAATAACTCTGCATAAATGTCTACCACATCCAGATGACGGTCAGTGTAGAAAGTGGGCTATGAATACAACTTCATTTCAAAGAACAAAATTTAGCAATTAGTTACTTTCTCTTTCTCTTCCATAATAGAATTATGCCACACTAAAGAAACATTTAAAGGGACATTCGACACCTTTTGCATGATAATGTAATTTCTACATACATGGCAAGTTAGTGAAGTATCAATAGATTTATAATTTATATCCCACAAGTTAAATCTTTACTTGAATTTATTTATTTTTCTATGTGTAGAAACTATGCTATAAACTTTTGTACAATGGGCCATCTTTCTAAAAGTTGATCTAAATATAAATCGCATTTCTCTATATTTGCATGTAACGAGTCCAGTGTTTGCAGCTAAATAACTGTAAGGTGAGAAAAACAGAGATGCAATATTGACCTTAGCATCAACTGATAAAGTGCAATATTTTCTATTCATTTACAACATGTTCATTCAGAAAATTCATTTCATGCAATGATTATCTGATTCTTTTTAACATTTTTATAAATAACACTGAAACATAAATAAAATTTGACAGAAAGCTTTAATGGGTATATTATTTGTGGTGTTCAGAATCTTTTACCAAATCTCAAGTAAATTGATATAATAAAACAAGATGATAACACAAATATGGTAAAATTGTGTTCTAAGAAGTATCTACAGAATGATCAAAAGAACAATCCAGAATATTAAATTTTAAATTAATTTTTGAGAGGAAACTAGATGTTTTTGATAATGACACATCTATATATTTTCCACAGCTTGCAGATTATACAGAAGAAGAATTGCCAAAAGGATATCGGATATTTGATTGTATGGGTTTGGAACCAACCGATCGGAAAGGTTTTCATATTAATGATTTTGAGCTCTTAATAGAAGGGCACATCAAAACCGGATACCAGGTTAGTACAATGCTAGTTTAATCAGAAGACAGTACAGACATTTTTGTGCCCCCACTTAGTGGCGGGCATTTAGATTTACCCTTGTCCGTCCATCCGGCCGTTCTCTTTTGTGTCGCACGTAACTCAAAAAGAATTTGACCTAAAGTCATGAAACTTTACGGGAATGTTGATCAGCATGTGTAGTTGCGCACCTGGATATTTTCGTGTGGATTTATTTTGTAGTTTTAGAGTTATTGCCCTTCACTTAGTAAAAATTTGCAATTTTCAACTTGTGTCGCATGTAACTCAAAAAGGATTTGACATAGAGTCATTTAACTTTACGGGTAGGTTGCTCAGCATATGTAGTTGTGCACCTTGGGTTTCGCATGTGGATTTATCCAGTATTTGTAGAGTTATTTCCCTTCATTATGTTGTGTTATTTGTTCCTTGAGTGCTTGAGTTTAAATCAACCAACTAAACATGAAAAATGATCAATATCACTAAATTACAGGAATAATGATCAACATCACTGTAAAACTATGCCCCTGGATTTCTTTCAGTTTTGTTAGAGTTATTGCCATTGACTAACAGAAGTATAAATTTGCAATTTTTAACTTGTTCATGCATAGCTCAAAAAGTATTTGACTTGCAGGCCTGTAATTTACAAGAATGTTGGTCAGCATGTGTACTTATGGACCTTGTGGTTTGCTTGTGGCTTTATTCAGTATTTGTAAAGTTCTTGCCCTTTACTTAGTAAAAGATTTACTTGTGGCATATGTAGTCCAAAAAATATTTAATTTTTGAGTCATTAGATTGACAGAACAGTGGCGTGTGGGGGCACCGTGTCCTATGGACATATTTCTAGTTCTTAAAAGGCAAAGTCAGTCATGGAATGCAGTAGCAATTAATGAGAGCGGCATGATTAACGTCAAAGAATCCGTCTTGCGAAATGATAATGTAAAAACTGTTTGCATGAGTTTTTTTTCTTATAAATGCTGGAAGTCTACACGACAATACAATTTTATTTTCATTTTCTTTAACATGGTCAAAAGATTTAATAGTGGAGATAAAACGCTATTTTTTAAAAAAAAATCTTTTATAACCATAAAATAAGCAACTACCTTGATTTAAAGTGATTACAGCTACAAAATATGTTTGCAATGATTAATACACACTACAAAGCATTTTTTTTTACTTTTATTTTCTTTCCTTTTCATAATATTGTTCCGCAATACTTATGAAACCCTTTTGGGGACATTTGTGACAGCTCTTGTTTATTGATATTTTAGTTCAATCACCTCAGTCCAATCACGAATAGCAACAACAAATTCAGAAAAACACCAAACTTTTGGAACAAAATGCATTGCGTTATCTTTGTTGTCAGTGCTGTATCTATTCAAGCTGGGCTTCAAGCAGAGTACGTTATAAAGATTAATGATATGCAAAAAACACTGAAGGATCAGGGTATGATTTTATTCAAAAATATACAGATACTTCATTGTTGTACTTTGTTTAACTTATGAATCTGTACCTGTCAAAATAAGACGAAACAATACAAATTAATTGTTTAGTTTTTTACGCGTTTTTATTGTTTTTGTCTGAAAACTGTAGATCGCATAAATTATTAATCTATTTTTTGTAAGAGGTACAAGTTAGCATGATCCAGGACAACGTTTAATGCATAATTAACATCCTTCATAGAAGACCAATAAGAAGGCAATACCAATTGTTAATATATTTATCATGCTACAAAAATGGCGCTGATCATTTGTAAGCTTTTTTTATTTTGATAAATTTATTGTGTGTCTGACATGTTGTTTAGATATACCAAGTATCTTGATTTTGACAAAAGTCGATGAACTGTGTGATGAAGTGGAAAAGGACATCACAAAAATGTTTTGGAGCATAAAAGTTCGAGACGCAGTACAAACGGCGAAAGATTTATTCGGGATTGAGGTAGCAAGCGTATATCCGGTAAAGAATTATGTGAAAGATTTGAATATATATACTGAAATGAATATCCCGCTCTTGCTTGCCCTAAAAGGGGCAATGCACGTTGCGGAAGCTAAAATAAATCGTTATAAAGAACGTCTACGGCAGGAAAATGACGAAGATAATAACAATTAAATTTGGTCATTTATATACTGAACTATTGGAAGTGAAAAAGGATTCATATTATATTATCATTGTTTTGTTGAACTTAAGATTGTGGTTCATTACATGTTACTGTTGCCGATTATAATTTTGTCTGTAATTTAAAAAAATGTGTTTTTTTTTAGCTCACCTGAGCTAGCTCATGATAAGCTTTTATGATCGTTGAAAGTCCGTCGTCCGTCCACACTTGCTCGTTCACAAGCTAGCGGTCACATTTTTTGCCTCAATCATCATCAAACGTTGTCAATATGCTTGTCTAGGTAATAGATCGGACAAATTTGAACATGGGTCATCTCGGATGAAAAACTAGGTCACAGGAGCTAAAAATCAAAAAAACTTGTTAACGCTTTAGCGGTCACATTTTTGCCTCAATCATCATCAAACTTTGTCAGGATGCTTGTCTAGGTAATAAGTCAGATGACGTCGAACATGGGTCATCTCAAATGAAAAACTAGGTCACAGGAGCTAAAAATAGAAAAAACCTTGTGAACACTCTCGTGGTCAATTTTTTTACTCAATCATCATCAAAATTGTGTAGGTAATTGCTCCGATGAGATCGGACATGGGTCATCTCGGATGAAAAACAAAGTCACAGGAGCTAAAAAAGGAAAACTCTTGTTAAGACTCCAGTGGCTCCTGCTTTGATCCAGATATCCTGAAAATTGGTCTGAAAGTTGGTTTTGATGATTTCTAGGACAAGTTTGAATATGAGGTTACCTGGGGTCAAAAACAAGAAATCTGGAAACAAAGTGATCCCTCGTAAGCATTAATCACAACAAAATTGCATGAAAATTGCAGACTCTGTTTGATTGAGTATGTACATGGGGGATAATGAATAAGTGCAACATCCCTCACGCCCTCCAGCACCGGCTTCAGCGGTACTCAATCCTTAACACTTAATAGTGCTGGCATTATATAACAACACTGAAGTGAAGTACTGGGCAACTTTTTACAGCTGCCATACAGCACTTGACACCTGCTCGTCTCACCGCCCAAATATAGAAAAACCTTGTTAACACTCTAGTGGTCACATTTTTGACTCAATTGTAATCGAACTTTGCCAGGATGCTTGTCTAGATAATTGCTCGGATGAGTTCTAACAGGGGTGAGAGCCAGGTCACACCGCCCAAATATGGCATAAACATTGTTATCACTCTAGTGGTCCGTTTTACACTCGATTGTCATCAAACTTTGCATGGATGTTTGTCTAAGTTAATGCTCGGATGAGTTACTTTGAACCTGGGTCATCTCGGGTAAAAAAAACTAGGTCACATGAGCTTAAAATAGAAAATCTTTTCAACACTCCAGTGGCTACTGTTTTGTTTCAAATATCATGGATATTGATCTGAAAGTTTATCTTGATAATTTCTAGATCAAGTTCGAATATGGGTCACCTGGGGACAAAAACTAGGTCACACTGCTCAAATATGAAAAAGCCTTGTTAACACTCAAGTGGTCACATTTTTGACTCACCTTGGTCAGGATACTTGTCTAGGTAATTGCTTGGATGATTTCGATGGGTTAGGGCAGCCATACTGGCCCTATTGTTTAATGTACCTTGCGTTGTTTGTTTGGTTTATAAATATATTTGTGTCTTTGTATGCATGTTTGTATGTGTATCAAAATAAACAGGGTTACCCTTTCAGGGCCTCAACAAAAAGAAATTAGTTAATTTGGGATATTTCTTTTCTTTTGCTGAAGCACAAAAATATATTTATGAATGCTTCTACTGCTCCTGTATGCATACTGCGAGCTATTTACATCTACTTAATTATCGATTCACATTTTCTTATAAACATAATCTTTTGGATAAACACTTTTTTGCAAGGCCACTGCCACCATATTTTGTCTTATTTTTCATTTGCATTGGTAATGGATGGAAATCAACAACGGGTTATTATTATAGAAGAAAGGCACACATATTGCTGGTCTCATCAATTCGGGGTATTACATGTATATATTAAACATGTAAATGTATAAAGCGAACAAAATGACTATGCCACAATATATACTGCTATAATCTAATGTAAATATTAGTAGTTTGAATAAAATTAGTTTCTTTTTAAATTTGTTGCTTGTTTTTATAATAATAATGAATCAAATAAGATAGAAGTAGCGTTTCAAATCTGTATGAAAATAATACATACAAATAAATATTCATTTATTTATCATATCAAAATTCAAAATGCTATAATTCCCTCAAAAATGTGAATTGCAAAAGCTGACAATTTGGAGCACTTCAATCTGAGAAACATTAATGAAAAAGACCTGATTTCGTTACATTGCGGTGTTTCCTTTTTTCTAATTTTAAGCTAGGAAGTAAGCATGGGTCGGGCCTAAGAAGTAAGAGTAGGGTAAGCACATACCGCTATTTCACACCAAAACTGAATGTAGTAACATATTACAGTAATGCTTTTGATAGTGCAAACATAATTTTGTGTTGGTTATAGGAAATAAGTCTATAAAAAGAAAATTAGAACAAGAACATTGTTAAAGAATACATAATTATTTAAATGCTTTATTTCAACCAATCATAAAGTTTAACATGTATTCCACAAAATCATCGTCATCATCATTATCATAATCAACAATTTTATTAGCATTACCGCCATAATCAATAAAGGATATATTTTTCAAATAAGCAAAGATATTTTATTAACTACAGGAAGTCGGTTTGTGGCTAAGATAGAATACATGTACATGACCACTCCCTCATTTTAATAAATTCCTTTATTTTTTTATTCAAAATGTTCTTAAAACATCATATTTTATTAAAATAAATGAAAGTTGATCGGTCAACTATCGTTATCTCGACATCGTTTTTCTCGATATTTTGTTATGTCGATGAAATCTTAAAAGTCCCGATTTTCTTCCTTCTTGATCTATAATGGATAAATTTAGTTATCTCGATATTTTTATTTCGATATTTTCAGTATCTCAAAGTAAAGTTGTAGCCCAAAATGTTATTATTACACTTTTATTTTTTGTTTATCTCGACTATCAATTTTTCGTCTGCCCCCGTAGAGAAGTCAAAAAGCAGAGCGGACGATTATCGCTCAATAGCGCGTGTTATAATAAGTGATTATGGTTGTAATAAATCGAGCTGTGTTAATAAAAAAAAATTATCTAAATACTGTGTTGATTGACTTATGTAGAAAATGAGAGAATTTTCGTTTTGTATTGAATATTCGAGCTCTGTATTGCATTCAATATGACTTTACATTATCGTTGCAATATTGTTCCTAATCAAGGAAGCAAAATCGGTCTTTTCTTTAACCATACAAAACGGACATAACGAATTGGCAATTTAATTCTAAATTAACGAAGAAGAAAGAAAAAGTCCATGATAACCGTCATATGAACACATCTACGGATGTTTTCAAAATTGTACCGGTTCGTTTTTAAATGTTGAAAATT